TTAATTTCATTAAAAAATAAAAAAAACTGTGTAAATATTTGTTAAAGAGGACCAATTAATATGATTCCAGTATTCAAACTACATTAATTGACTATTTGCGTTGATTAATAATAATTGCTCCAAATACTAAAAAACTGAATTATGTATATGTATTAGACAGTGTGGTAAAAAACTAACACCTTAAAAATGATATTTCACTTTTTGACAAATGCTTATTTATAACAACAGAGACGTTCATTTTCATAACTTATAATTATATTGATTTCTGATTCAAATCCACATTTATTTAGAATAATTTATTAACGAACACAATTAAGTATGTAATTAATTAATATTTGGGCGGAAATACTGGTGGTACCGTATGATCGAAAAAAAATGGCGTCCAGTTAGCTTGGAAATGACGAATCGATGACATTTACCATATAATTTTACATATAAAATGACAGCGATCTTCATTTCATTGCCATCGCTGACGCCGTTTTTATTCGATCATACGTTATATTTAATTAATGGTATACTCTTTTATAAAGATTTAAATAGTTTTCTTTTTGCTTTAAATGGGCTAGTAATATTATCGTTTTAATAAAAATTATACATTTTGTACATTTGTTGTTTTAAAAACAATCTAAAATGTCAATATTCCATGGGTATATTGATAAATGAGGTTCAAATTATAAGAAAATGCATTTTCTACGAAAACTTGAAGGGATAGGTAAAAAGTGGTATATTACAATTTGATAGACAATTAAATTGTGCATCTGATTCTCATAAAATATAGAGGGTGTTCCATTTAAATTAAACAAGTTATTGCCGTTTAAAGCTAGTAATTATTTAAAATAAATTTTTAGACCACTCTATATAAGGTAGTATAATTTTTTATTAATGCAACACAATAACTGATCAATAAATAAACTTCAGTAAATATTTAGTATTAAAAACTTTGGTACCCTCGGGGAAATGAAGCCTTAAAATTTATACTGCAATTTCACAAAATTGAAAATATTTCAAAAACGGTAAGGTTTAAGTGTAATAAACCTTAATCAAATTTACCTTTATTTTAATCGAAGAAACTAAAATGCAATAATATACAGGGTGTTCCATTTAAAAATACAACTTTGATATTTTTTATTTATTTGGGACCTCTGTATCTTGTAAAAGTATTTTTAAATTGTAGCTCTAATAGTCCTTCAACGAACCCAAAACTTACAATTTGTAAAAATCTAATTGTTTAGCTACAATACTCCGTGTCGTATGTGGTGAACAACCCTGTATAGCATTTATTTCAGTAGCATACCTAAGTGAAGATTGTGTTTGACTCACCCTGTATTTTTGTTTATCCTGTTTTAAAATATGACTTTAAAATTATTAAAAAAAACTTTTAGTTCAAAGGCATAAAGAATTTGCGATTTCTTAATTTTTAGGGACCCTTAAAGATTCATATATCAAATTTAGTCACCAAAAAATGGCGAACTTACCTAAAAAAAATATTATTAATTTTGATAGACAATGGAAAATAAATAGACACGTATTTTTTATTTTTTTCGTACGTTGAATATTGTCGGAAATATAACGTTTTGAAAAATTTGGTCATGCGTGGTGTATGATGTCACGCCACGCTCAGTATATCTACCGTATGATCGAAAAAAAACGGCGTCCAGTTGGCTTGGAAATGACGATCGATGACATTTCCCATATAATTTTACATATAAAATGACAGCGATCTTCATTTCATAGCCATCGTTGACGCCGTTTTTATTCGATCATACGGTATATATAAAAAACAAAAACTCTTGTAACTTTCGAAATAATCGAACTAGGAAAAAATTAAAAACAAGCGTCCATTTTTTTTCAGTTTACCACAATTTCTAACAAAGAAAACTTAATTTATTTTTTTTAGGTAAGTTCCCTATTAAAAACCAAAAAAATTACCTCTGTGTATCTCGCTTTAACAAAAATTATTTCAGTGAATGCAGTTTATTTGTCGTTTTTATTCACGTGATTCCATGGTTCACTCCTTGGTAACATAATTAAACTTGCCGAACCTAAAGAAAACGAAAAAGATACAATTAAAATAATATTTCAGTCTTTTACTTAAACAAGATAAATAAAACTACCTATAGCAAAAAATGCTAAAATATATTGTTTATTACCTTTATCATATAAGAGAAATGCTCCATCTTCTAGCTTAAATACCATTTTCTCCTGTATAATCATCAAAATATCTCTCCTGCAAGATAAAACATAAAATTAATTAAAATCGAGATTAAATAAAATAGTGAGATTTTAAAGATATCGATAATTTTTAGCGGTGATCGGCAGAAATTTTTGATCGCGCGTTGCCATGAAAACGCTGGCGCTTGCTGCCGACGGAAAACAAAAACAATGACACTTCGCGGAATATGGTAAAAAATCGACAAAAAAATAGTAAAAATACGGTAAATAAATAAGTATTTCGATAAACTTACCGCTTTAATAGACATAACAGAGTTTCAGGAGGATAATTTTATCAAAAAAGCTACTAAGTACGAGTATTTCTACAAAAATATCGTGAAAAAGAACAAAATAATTTTTGACAAGGCACTTACCCGGCTGATTTTTCATCACTGGCAAAATTGTTGATATTTTGCAGTATGCTGTGACTGTTTGACGACCGAAAGAAGAATGTATTGTCGTTATGTTGTTAGAACAGACAAATGTTACTGACGATTTGTAGTTATATAACGTAAATTTTAATGAAAGATTGTTTTCGAAGTTAAATATTTTTAGAATAGGCTGGAATAGGTAAGAATTATTTGTATTATTCAAATTAATAATGTTATTTAACAAATATTTTGTAGAAAATCATAGAAATATGTAAAAATGCGGTTTTTGGAGTAGTATTTAATTATTTTTTATCGAAAATAACTCACTTTTTTCAAATTTTGGATGTTTTTAGTCTAGAACTTAGCAAAGTATAGAATTATGTGGATATGTTTCGTAAAATTTATTATATTCATGTCCATGTAGTACTGGGGGATACTACAGGTGGCGTTAATGAGATTCACAAAAATGTGAATTTGTTTTCAATGACAAACTTAAGGAAGGTTAATCATTCATTTTGAATTTTATCACCCAAGTGGCATTTTATTGTTAGATTTTTAGCCTTAACAATATACCGAGTGGTGCATCGTCGTTGGAAATATAGGAAATCCCATTCAAATTTTAAAGTGTTCAAATATTGGTTCCCCTATTGATTTTACAGCAAAGTCGTAAATAGATATTTTAAAGGTTTATGTACAGGGTGGGTCAAATTCGACGCTTTTAAATGGAAACACCCTTTTCTATCAGAGATAGACAAAAACTAATATCGGTGTCTGGACCTCAATCAAAATTGGTATATGTCAAAAAGGTATATGACATAAATTATGATTTATTGACGTATTCAATTGTTTTTGGTCTCTTCCTGTTTCACCGAAATGATTACATCTTTTGATTTTTAAAGGTACCCCCGGTATATTGCTACTTTATTCGATAAAAAATGACTTCGAATAGAAAAAACAATTGATTTATTGACATATCATATGTCAGCTTGACATTGTCGCTTAAAAACAAATCCTATTTTAAATTTCAATCCAGGGTGCCATGGTGTTGTTAAAAACACTAAGTTTTAATCAAGGAGCCTTGGAAAAATAGTTTTGATCGTCTAATAGATTTCGTGTCTTGTCTAGGCCGGTTAAAAGATGTACAAATCGTATTTTTAATCATACATGTCAATTTTTTCAAATGGAACAAGGGTGACTCATTAGCATATTTGGAAAAAGCATTTTTTTATGAATATATTGATACCACACACTTGGTATTTCGAGTCAAATTGTCGTTATGAACCGCGTGTTACAATTACAATTAAACCATATGCAAAAATGTCAAAAGTTGACATATGATATATGTCATTCTATTCAGAGTGTCATTTTCCATCGAATAAAGTAGAAATATACCAAGGGTGCCCTTTAAAAATTAAAAGTTATAGTCATTTCCGGTGAAACAGGAAGTGACCAAAAACAATTGAATGCGTCAATCAATCCTAATTTATGTTATATACTAACATACTAAATCTTGTTTTTTTTATTTGAAAATATAAAAAAAT